GAATCTGAAACTATGGTCCCAGGCTGTTTCTACACACAGACAACAACACCAAACACAGATGAACAATGATTTCCCCCTGACAAAGAAGAATCCCTGCAGATCCCTCTAATGTCATCACTAAAGCATGTTGCAGAAGGATACTATCTCTGATGTATTTTTAACTGGTCTGATATTAGAATATTTACACCTTGATATACCGGTGAGGTTTTGAACACAAAAAAAAAAAAAAAAAAAATTTACATTAAAAATGCATTAAACGTATTTTAAGTCAGAATTTTTTTCAAATGTTAGGATTTGATACATTTTTCACAATCCACAAACACAACACTGTGAGTTTAATGTAAGAACATTTATCACTACAACAGCTTTGCTCATAAGACAAACACAGTCGATAACATTGTTGTAGTACTGACTTCATAAAGTTACAAAAAATACCTTAATTATGGTAGGGTTTACCATAATTAGGGTATTTTATGTAACTTTGGTAATCCTCACCATGTCATGGGGCAGATCAAAATTAGACTGTGTATACTGAAGCTGCAAGAGAGCCAAAATATCTACAACATCAATAGCTAAGCGATGATAAAAGTAAAATAGCCTGAGATTTGCTGAAGAAAATAAATGTAGCTAAAAGGTAAAGAGGTAAAAGTTAAAAAGAAATTGTCAGAAGAAGTATTCAACAAATATCTGCAACAACAGACAGCAGCAATGCAGCACTGCGTTATCTCCTGTTTGGTCAAAGGTCAACTCATCAATTCCAGCACAACACAGCACAAGATGAAATAAGTGAAAGTGTTAGAAGAATAAGTCAAGACTAATGGTCTTCAGGTTTTTTCTTTGACAAGAAAAAAAAAGGTTTGTCAAGTTGGTAAACATTTGATCTGAACCAGTTCCTAAACTGTGATGAGATATGGATCAGTGCCTGGAGACAGACTGGAAAAACACTGTGGTCGGAATCATCTGTGACAGTCAAGGTCACAGCAGACATCGACTGTGCCCTGGAACCACTTAGTGAGTGGCATAGTGTGTTATTAGAAAAACATTTTTTTCTTCTACAGTATATCACCAGACCAGACCAGACCAGACCAGAGAACAAGTTCTGAACGTTCTTGCATGATATTAGCTCCCTCTGCTGGGTAGATGTGTTTATTACAGCTTGGCGCAAATGAGCCCCTAGTGGTGATGAGGTTAAATCGCAGAATAATTGCCATATCAAAAAATCTACACTGGCATCTTTGAATTAATGGTGAGTCCATTAGAGGTCAGTGTTGTCATATTAAAGCAGGTCTCTGCAGCAGATATTTAACCTTCCTCTGGTGTTCGGGTCGGCACCGACCCGTTTCCAAGTTTTAAATGCATTAAAAAACACATAAATTAGTTTATTGCGTCAAGGCTTTTTGGCTTTGTCAAGAACCTCTATTTCAACAAAATAAAACAAAAAAAAAATTTTTCACTAAATTATAAAATGCTCTGGTTGAAATTATGACCTTTGTGTTGTTCGGGTCGGTTTCGACCCGGTTATAAAAGTC